ATTATTTATACATTTATTTATTTAAAATATTTTTCATCCCACCTTTCTTCTTAAAAAGTACCCAATGTGACTTACAACATAAAAACACAGTATTTAAAGCTAACAGCAGCGACTATACAAATACTAAAGAGGATCAAATTAATACTCTACTGAAAACATAAGCAAGACCAAAACACAGTCAAAGCAGTAAGGTACAACAATCCATTAAAAACAGCAACAACAACAAAAACCCTACTAGAGCAGCCAGTCACTCGGGGAAAGTTGGCCTGAAGCTAAATATCTTTTTCCTGCTTGCAGAAGGACAGCAAAGATGGGACCAGCTTGGCCTCCTGTAGGAGGGAGTTCCAAAGTCTGGGAACAGCAACAGAAGGTCCACTCCTGTGTCTTCACCAAACGTACTTGTGAAGGTGGTGGGACCAAAGTCTCTCCTGATGATCTTAACACCCAAGTAGGTTCATAAAGGGAGATGTGGGCCTTGAGGTAGTTTGGGACCAAGCCATTTGGGGCTTTTTAGGTTAAAACCGGCAGTTTGAATTGTGCCCAGAACTGCATAGGCAGCCAGTGGAGCTGCTATAAGTAGGATGGGGTGTGCGCGTTGTTATGTGATCCTTTGTGTCCAAAACCAGTTAACAATCTGGCTGCTGCCTTTTGGACCCTCATGAACAAATTTAATGGCTTACTTCTGAGTTGATATGGACATTCATTGAAAAATAATGTCTTGTTATCCTGGTCTCTTAATGCATTTTATAATTGTAGGTTACTTACCACCAATGGTTGGATTTTTAATATATCCTGTGTTGTGGGACTCTCCCCCCACTTCCTTAATTATGATGGCTCTAGTTCTCTGAGCAACTGCTTGCTGTGCAACACCATGTCTAGGCATCTGTCCTTAAACAGAAAAACAAGAAGGGGATGTAAACTCTGTTGTTGCTGCTGCTGTTGCCTCCTCCTTCAGCATCATCACCTGAGGAAGCTAAAGGTGGCTAATCCATACAGACATAATTTTGAAAGCTCTGTAATAAGAACCACCCCCACATTTCACATGCTTTACACTGAAAAGCTGTTACATTTTTTAAAAACTATACATATTCAATTTTTTGGACTACCATTTGCTCAGTGTCATGTTTCTGGTGAATACTATAAATACTTTAAATACTATAAAAATCCAGGACCACCATCCTATTTCCTAAATGGAGGAAATTGTGTAAGCATCCTCTCAACTCCCTGGTGTGTGCCAACTCTTGTATTGGTTGCAAGATTGGTCACACAACTGGTTGTGCAACCAGAACCCTGCTGGAGCAGAGGGGCGCTGACATGATGGCCTTTGCATTCCACATTTAAGCAACAGGATGCTGATCTTGGCTTTGAGCTTTTTCTACTGCCTACTATCAGAAATGGGATGGTTGCTTGGTTGGTTTGTTACATTTGTACAGTATTCCACCTTTCTTCCGGAGACCTTAAGATAAATAAGTAGTGTTTTTCCTTCACACTTCAATTTCATAGCAAAAACTCTGTGAATTTGGCTGGGCTGAGAGCGTATGATTGGCCCAAAGTCAACCAGGGAGTTTCATAGCTGACTGGGAATTTGAACTTAGGTTTCTTGAGTTTTAATTTAAGATCATAGGCTTTATACAATCCAGAGGATGGAAGTTTGATTCCCCACTGTGCCTTTCTGAGGAGGGCTGGACTCGATGCTCCAGTCCAGAGGATCCCTTCCAGCTGTGCAGTTCTAAGATTATCATTATTATTTAAAAGCCTCTGGCTATTGAAAGAATTTAAAAAACTGTTGAGAAGCTAATGATAGAAGTAAACTAGAGTTTCAAATTTAAAAGCAAGGAAACATCTAAGCATGATGCTGAGAACTGTTCTATGCAAACTATGAAGCACACAGTGAAGTTGTTTGTTTTGCAGACAAGTAATAGGAGAAAGGAGGGACGTGGTGGCACCGTGGGTTAAACTGCAGAAGCCTCTGTGCTGCAAGGTCAGAAGACCAGCAGTTGTAAGATCGAATTCACACGATGGAGTGAGCCCCCGTCGCTTGTCCCAGCTCCCGCCAACCTAGCGATCCAAAAGCATACAAAATATGAGTAGGTAAATAGGTACCACCACGGTGGGAAGGTAACGGCGTTCCGTATCTAGTCGTGCTGGCCACGTGACCACGAAAACTGTCTAGGTGAAATGCTAGCTCTACGGGTTGGAAACAGAGATGAGCACCACACCCTAGAGTCAGAAATGACTGGACTAATTGTCAAGGGAAACTTTTTCCTTTATCTTTACCTTTATTGGGAGACAGACCCAGTCTTAAAAAGAGATTGCAGGACTTTGTACTGAAGGTGTAAAAAGAAAGGGGAAGGACGAAACTTCCTCTCTTCCCCCCTCCACAGTTTATTCCATTATTCCCTACACTATAGTCCATGTGCTACCTTAGTTGAACTTCTAACAATACCCAAATATAGTATGACCTAATGTTATTTCCTTCCTGAAGCAGCAAAAAAATACATATTTTGAGGCAGCATGTCAACAGACTTCCTAAAAGCTGAAGCGCTTCGTGTTGTGAAATCCTCTGGGATCTTCTGTAAATTCTTGTCATTTTATTTAATCTTTCTTCCTCTTTGTCTAAACATTTCATATATCACTTCAGGGTTTTTTTTTTACAGTCGATGAAGCCAAATTCAAAAAAACAAAATTCTAGCTTGGATAATACATTTAGTGGATCTCTACTAAGTTATGCAAGCTTTTGGCTTTCTGAAGAATTGCTTATCAAGTGAAGACAGAAAAATCTGGGGCTAAGATAAACAGGTCCCACACTTGGCTTGGGGTAGCACTCCTGGTGTTTGAAACCAGACTGCCAGTAAGGTCAGATGGAAATGTGCACATTCCACAAGAGTCCAAGGTGTCAAGTAGATCGATTTACTGTCCTTTCTTTCTCTGGAGAAGAAAAGGCCTCGCTTTGTCTCCTCTTGCCATAACACAAAGTTCACAGACCTCTTTGGAGGCGTAGAGTTTTTAAAAAAAAAAACATAGAGCAAGGCAAAAAGCTTTAGGTCAGTGAATAGGAAATCAAATTTCAGTATCATATGAGGTTAAAAACTCAACTGCAGCCACATTGGTGGTCATACCTAGTGGCTGGATAGCCTGAGAGCACCACTGTTCTGCTGCAGGAATTGTGTCTATAGTATTGGGATTATGATTTGTTTCACAGCTGGTATTCACAGTCAGTTATCACATGCAGGGTGTGTGCGGTTTGATTTGTGAGCTCCATGTTCACACTCAGCACATTTCAAGCTCGAGCCCCTTCTTTTCTTTCAGTTGAAGCAACCCAGTCAATAGACATGATATGTCAAAAATATTGTGCCATACGATTGTGTCTTCTAGAGCAGTGGTTCTTAACCTTTGTTACTCAGGTGTTTTTGAATTGCAACTCCCAGAAACCCCAGCCAGCAGAGCTGGTGAAGGCTTCTGGGAGTTGCAGTCCAAAAACATCTAAGTAACAAAGGTGAAGAACCAGTGTTCTAGAGCAGTGGCTCTTAACCTTTGTTACTCGGATGCTTTTGAACTGCAACTCCCAGAAACCCCAGTCAGCACAGCTGGTGGTGAAGGCTTCTGGGAGTTGCAGTCCAAAACCCCTGAGTAACCCAAGGTTAAGAACCAGTGTTCTAGAGGTTACTTTACTCACATGCAAAGTGAAAGGGTGGGTGTGGGTGTCCCTGACTTGTGTTTGTAGATGAGAAAGTATGGACTGGCAGATCAGGGCAGGCGTTCGAAAGAAACATCCTGATTCTTTACTGAATGCAAAAGGCTAAACAGGCCAGTAAAATAACTACCATGTGCCATTCCACCTCAGTATTAAATTAAAATATGCATATTAAAACTGTATTTAATTTATTTTCAAAATTCTAAACTGTGCTTAGACCTTAACTGTGCTGCTGTCCTTTTAATGGGCCTACTTTAACAGCAGCCTCTTGCAGGAGTTCAACTGGTTAACCTTTCCTCACCCCTTGCATCCCTTGTACCAGGAAGTCCTGTCACCTGCTAAATACCTGTATCAGCTCATTATCCCAGGACTCGAAAGCTGGATAGGTTGCAATTGTATCTTAAAGGTATTTATTCTGGTGTTGACTCCAGTGGGATGATGTCCAGAGCAAACATTTTTAGTAGCTTCGTTACAAAAGAGCGCAGGACTTGCAATGTAATGACAATTGCTGCTTCTCTTATGTCTTTACTGCTGAACCCAGATAGGCTAGGTTCCCCACTCTCTCATTTTAAACCTCAGCTTCAAATAGCTCTGAGTTTGTTTTTGTAGCAATTTTATTAGCCATTAATACTTTCCCAAGGTTTAGTTGGTAGATCAAAGCAAAGCACAAGGGGAGGGGGGGGTAACCCCACAGCTTCTCTGCAAAACAAAAACAGAACCAACAGAGCAGACTCGGGGTGCTTTGCTCAGTACAAGCTTTCTGCAGTGCTTTCCATTTTTTAGCAAATCAATGAAAATCACATCAACAAGGAACACAAAACAAAAGGAAAATCATATTTACTAAATCTGGTTTCCTGTTGTAAGACCTTGGAAACAGTTCTTGAAGACCTCATATGGCTTGCTACCCAGTTAGGCAGCAGCTGTTTAGAATTTACACACATATGACAATCATCACTTAAATGCTCTATTTCATATCATGATAATCTGAAGAAATGTAACAAGCTGTTTTTAGACACTACGGTATTTAGAGCTAAATCTGAATATCAACAGAGGCTATTGCCCCAGTGTTAGAAACCACATAGACTCACATATTTTGCAAGTTTCTTAGTGATCACAGTCTCTGTATTTTGATGCCATGTATTAAAAAGTTACTATATTATCTCTCTTACATCTGAGTAAGTGGACTTGTCCATGAAATCTCACATTAAAATATAACAGTTAGGCTTTAAAACGCTGCCACATTTCTGTCCTTTTCATTTGATTTATTGTTTGTTTGGTGTTCGTTTGTTTGTTTTTTTGCCTGTAGGATTTGAAATGAAGACCATAAAGCAGTGGGAGGTATGCTGTTACCTTCCAGATGTTGAAGAACTGCTGCCGGCTTCATTCATCACCATTTCCCAACTGCTGATGGTAACTGGAGTCCAATAAAATCTGGAACACTACAGGTTTCACAGCTCTCACTTAAAGGTTATGAGATCTACCTTGCTTTTGATGGTGTGTTTGTTTGTTTGACTGGTTTTGCTGTATCTTCAGTTGATTCTTGGGCAGCAGAGACTTTCAAAAAGTCTCACAGTTCCGTTGAAGTAAAGGGAAGCCATGTGGCCATAACAGAATAAAATCCAAGTGCAAAAATAGGCAATACCTTTATAGACCACTGATTGTGGAAAGGGAATTTCAACAGGTGACTATTAAAGAGCAAAGCCTTTAGGCCTCCTTGTATCTGATTATACTGCATGAGGCCCCATGGAAAACAGTGGTGTTTACTTCTAGGTAAACGTACATGGGATTGAGTGCTTATTTCCCACATTGCTATTGCAAAAAAGGCAGATGTGTGAACTTTTCTATCTTGTTTCCTGTGAGTAAAAAACAACAACACCAAGAAGACCTGTATCACATTTTCTGTTGTGCTGCTTGTCCTGTCAAGTGATGTTGTGCTTGCTTCTCTAGTTCAGGAAACTGTGGTTTCTTAGTAGAGGATGCAAATGTTAGAAATGTTTGCCCTTCTTTTGTTTTCTCATGACCTCTCTCTTTTAGATTGCTTTTCTCGTTAAAAGCAAAGCTGTGTTCAGGAGAATTATGAGACAGAATTACATATAGGACACTTTGGATTCCTTTTTTTAGGGCTGAATTTCTTGAAATTATCCCTCCCTCTTTGTTTAGCCAGCACATAGCTTGGAGAAGTGACTCTTTTTTTAAGCATATAATTTGTAGAGTGTCCTTCTCAACTAGTACAATCAAGCTTTCTTTCATGTCATTATGGATGAAATTTAAATCGAAACCTGCTGCCCAGAGGGTGAATCTCATGGAACAAAATAGAACAAGCTTCAGAGAAAACATGCTTAAGATTTGTACCATCAGGGTGCATCCTAAGGACGTTTGTTTGGCTATCTGCTCCACTGTGCAGGGTTGTGATTGTTCTGAGAAATACATAACAGGCTATAAAATATCACCTTTCACCAGATTATTAGGCCTAGGATTTTTCAGATGTGGATGGTACTGAGAATTCTACACCAGGGATTAATGTAACAGAATGAAGGGTGCCGGAACTAATTTTTGCACATTAACCTGTCTCTGATATATTTTCAGTTAACCAGGGACAAGGAGATCCGATATATTTTTGTTTATTTTCAGCTGAAAAGATGCAAAAGTAAGTGGACGCAACTACGTCCGCCAGAACAAGCGGAGGAAAGACATAATGTGCCTATACAGAATATACATTTTATAAATTCAGATGAAAAGGAGGGTGGAGAAAGAGGGGTCATGAGAGGGGTTGCTGGTGTCTAGGCTTTTGGCCATAACTCTTCTCTCCTATCTTAGTGCTAGATACTGAAGCTTATCAGTAAGCAAGGATAAATTCCCAATTAAAACCAGTTCCAGTACTTGCAAGCAAAGAAATGCAGGTGGCTTTTCTCCTTCGTCTATTTCTGTCTGCTAAGCAGAAACCTGATATAATAGGTTACACATTCATGTAGCAAAGCAAAGCAAAGTACAGAGGCAAGATGGCTAAGTTAGGCTAAGTTATTATTTTATATAAATGTGTTCATTTGATCCCTTCAAGACATTTCTCTGTATATATGGAGCTAATTTCTGCTTGATGAAGCATCTTTTGCAAATCCAAGGTGTATGTATTCCTGCAGTGACAGAAGTGAGTCCTGTTGCATCACTCTTTCTATTTGGTATTTTATGTGCCTTATTCCTATAGATGCCTGGCTGCGGATACAACTGTCAAATTTAGGAGTGCACACTTTTGGGTCAAAACAGGCAAAATGTTACTACCCAGAGCTTCAAAACATTATGTTTTTGGGTCACAACTCCCAAAATTTCTTAAGCCAACATGGCTATAGTCATTGTGGCTCCGTAATTCTGGATATTGTCGTCCAAACGTGGAAGACTTCCAGACTCAGTTAAGGACTTGCTAGAAACAACTCTCTTAAGAGGTTACATTTGTTTATCTTAGCACAGATTTCTCTGCTACACAAGTTCCACATTTGTTGGGTTTCTGTTTTTGTTTTGCTTTTCTGAATGATCGTTCAGGAGACATGCATGAGTTTAGTCTCCACGTTTCCCAGGTGCCGGAGGTTTGAAGGAATCCAGTGTGTCAGGAGAAAATGTCTTATCTTACTCAAATTGCAACAATGTTCAGTTCTGCTCTCAGAGAGGACAGGGGAACATTTCTTACCCACCAGCATTCTCACAGTAGAAGCCCAACGGAGGCAGAGATAAAGGAAATTGCTTAAGGCTTGGTCATGATTTTGTGGTTGAGCTGTGATGAGCAGAGGTTACGGATGCTCTCATCCTGGGTTCCGGCCCTGCAGCAGCTTTCTGCAGCTCTTCAGGTTTCTCCTTGCATGGCTGCTGTCTTCTTTCGGTTCTCCTCCGCTCCAGCACATGGAGGCTGGTCTTATTTGCACTTTCTTTACACTCAGCCTTACTGAATTCAGCAAGATTTGCTCTCAAATTCAGCAAGATTTGCTCTCATTACACAGAAGCCTGCGCGCTACTTCAAATGTTCAAATCAGTGTTTTTAATTTTATGTTCTTGTGAAGTTTATGAGATGCTTTTTGGGGGGGGACTTTATTTACCCTTGAACTCTTCTGCATAATGTTTTCATGTGGGTGGGACCTCTGCGTCTGTGCCCTAATTCCCCCCCACCCCTAATTCCCCCACCCACCCAAACATTTAGCAATGTCCATTGCTGTAAACCAGGACTGCAAGGGGCAAA